GAAAATCGGTGTTGTGTTTACTTTTAGGTAGGTACGACAAAAGCCGAGTAGTGTCCCTCCGTATATGTCAAATTTAATAAGAAGTGTTGTATTTTGTATAATTCTTTTTTGTTTAATTGTATCGGCAATAAATAATTGAATTTGAATTAAACTTATTATGAGTCTCATATATATGAGTCTGCGAGAGGCAGAGTGGCCTAATAACAAAAAACATGACTTTCAATAAGAAGGAAAATAAAAATGTGCTACTAATTTAAGCAAAAATTAATTTATACTATTATTTGTGTTAACATTATGTCACTATGTCTTGGAACACTAACATTTTTAGGCTATTTATATAAAACACTTTAACGCGATATATTAGTTAAACTTATTTGAAAATGATTTTTAACTTCGGCCCGACATTTCGAATGCTTTGCAGATGCCCTGGTCACGGGTCTCCCCGTGACCACAGCATTTTCAAATAAGTTTAACTATAATGGTTTTAAACCGTATAAAGTGTTTGATTTAAATGTGTACTATTCGCGCAAACTATAGACAGTATTTTTAGACTATAAAAATATAAATAAGTCAAGTCATAAAATTGCAGTTAGGCTACTCTGCGTCTAGCCGCCGCATATTTGTACAGAAAATCACTACATTACAGTATCGATTTTCTTGAGTATTCGTTTTGAATCCACCTTGTAGTTGTTGTACATTCACATTTAAAAAGTCACATAGTTGGTCTATGTGACTTTTAAAGTGTGAATGTACAACATTATATTTCTTATTAGGATGTAGAAATCTTACTATCCTTTAAAGAAAATATGAATACCTGAAGTAAGTTTTTTTTTTAACGCTTTTAATGTTGTTTTATAGCACTGCACTTCAAAAAGTGAAATGCACAATTGCGGTTTTTCTGTAAAGACAAAATTATTTTTATGTAACAAATTTACAGTGTCGCGACTCACTAGTAAATAAATGAATATCTTATCTTTACAGGCAAAAAAAAAATTATGCCCATATTTCAGGTATTGATTTCTAGAAAAGTAAGCACTTTACAATTATGCAATTTATATATTTATGTTTAAAGGTTTCAAAGAAAAACTTTTAATCACACTTATAATATGACGTTTATAGGACGTGACCATTTCTTTTATTTAAGCACTACATTAATAAAAATAAGTTTAATAGCTAGTAAATTATTTTTTCTCCAGTATTATAATAGTAAAGATTTGATCGAAATAAAATTTTTAATAAACCATAATTTCTGTAACCAGACATCTTTATTTACGGTGACATAAAGTCGACAGGAAGCGACAAAAAACGCAAACGTCACGACGCTGTGCGCGCGCGCACGTAAGCTGTACGTTTCCGGCCCTATGCGTGTCCTTAGTCTACCTCTTGCACTCTGCCCGATAACGATTCCCACATCCTCCGCTTCTGACGTGCTCGGTAACTCATTATAAATCCCTAAACTCCAGTTCACGTTCATATTGTACCAACAAAATATATTTTTCATTTAACAAATAATTCAGCGTCAACTTTACCCATAGCTGGGACCAATTGTATATACATTTAACATAATATGAACTAAAGACATTTTGATTTATTACTATTGCCAAACATTAGATTGAAACTGAAAAAATGAAATTAATTTTCCTTCTGTGTTAATTTAAATAAAACACTTTTAACGGTTTGAATGGCGAAACGAAGGTCCGTTGAAACCGCGGTCACCAGATAAAAAAGGCTCTCGCAAAGCATCGGTAACGTTAGGCCATAGTAATAATTTTTCTTAATTAACTAATACGTTCCGCCTTTTTAACCGTTACAAGTGTTTTATTTAAATTTATACTATGTAGACTACAGACAATACTTATCTGTGTCTATTTGACTGATCGTATTTATTTAGAGGCAAGTGGGTAGCTAGTTCATGAGATTTGTTCGAGTGGCATACCTACATTCTTGTCTCTCCACTTCCACAAGATCTGTAGTGGTATCGAACTCTGGGCGTGGTCAAAGTATTTATGAATCCCACTATTAGCACGTAAATATAATGTTATAGGATTTCAAAAGAAAATTGATTATTTTTTTCTTTAGCTAAACATGATCCCTTTAAACCCTACATATTATATTAATCGTGACGTCATATCTATTGCTTACCGCGTAAGTACGAAAAGCACGCTCAAAATAAACATTCGAAGCAGTCGGAACCGCGAGATAAAAAAATTTGTAACAAAACATGCGCGTAGTCTGCGCCGGCCACCTGGGCCGCTACGAATTACCATTGTATTGTAATGCGATGCAAAACGGCTCAGTCGGGCCACAAAAAAACGATCCGTTTGATAACGCAAATTAATGAATTATTTAGTGAGCCCAGAGCCGCTTCTAGCACGCGCTTGCGCCGGTAGCGGCGATTCAATTTCACAGCGTAACGAGTGGCGTTCGTTTGACGGGTATACACAGTAATGCAATTAGAAAGAGACAAAGAACAGAGTAGTCTAGTTTGAGACTTTTTTTTGTTTGTTTTTGTGTGTATTATTGGACTGGGCATAAATAATTTCTTTTTTATATTATAATTGAATTATTAGAAGGGTAAAATATGAAAAAAAAAACAAATTTTTTTGAGTTAATATGGAGATACATAAATGACTGTCTGTATTTTAAAATTGCTAACTATATTGAGGGGATCATATTTTAGTAGAGAACATTTAAGTAGATGAAGTTAAGAACATATATGTTAGTTAATCAAACACTTCAATATTTATGAAAGATCCAATGTTACAGAGAAATAGATTCTACTCCTCGTCCTTACAATATAAAAATAAAAAATGATTTTCCTTTAAATTAATTTTCGACTTTATGTATTGCTGGACGAAAAAGAAATATCGTGCGATCGAACGGAAGAGACCCGGGTTCAAATAATTTGAAATCACAATTTCGCCTTTGGACAGTAGTTAGTGACCCGGACGGAATATTGGCATTCCTACCACATATTAGTCAGAAGCAAATTCAGAAAATAATAAATTTATTGGCATGTCGGTGGTCAGTGAGAATCTAACCGACGACCGTACATTCAATATTCATGTGACGTATTGTTAAACAGACACTGAAATATAGTTTTGTCTCATGCCCCAAGCCCCACGCATGGGAAACGGGATCTCCCTTTTAAACATAGAATGTAACAATACATTTTAGCTACTTGTTAACCGCACTGTATTCTAATTTATGAATGAAATTAATGAGAAATAGTTTTTCCTTTGATGTCATAAAAAAGGAACAAGTCTAGACTTCTGCAATCATCTAATTAATGAAACTAATAAGGCTTCGTACGGTTATTGCATACATTAAATCTAATTAGTTTTAACATATCTCTCCGCTTCAATGCTAACAATTTTCCTATTACTGTTTGATGAACGGATCTACATGAATTATTTAATGAATTTAATAATAGTAAAATTGTAATAGTTGCATTAATAAAAAAATAGTTTATCTAATAAGCCATTTTTTCCCGGGAATGAGACTTGTTATTAGGCATAATAAGCAAGTAGACACACATTTAAATATAACATTTCAAAACGCGATATAAGTACATTCAATCACATTTGACTTGACGTTTTTGCTGTAATTACATGTATTTTTTACTACAACGGCGAAACGTTGCATTTTGTAATATAAGAAAACCATTAAACAGTTGAAAGGGTTTTTATTTAAAAATGCACAAATAATTAATTAGATACTAAAACATCACTCTTAGATTCCCTTAGCTTATCTAAAATAAGACTTTTGTGTAAATTTGGTTGTAAACCACCTTCGTAGTTGAATGGATCGTACCTACTGTTGAAAGTACGTTTGAGACCCTGGGAAACAGAAAAATTTTTTTTTTTTTAAAACGTGGGCCCCCGGGGAAATGGATGTCTTTGAAGAACTTATACCATATTGAGGACCACTTACTTAGTATAATACTTACTTCATAGAAGGTAAAATACTCCAGCAATGTAACTCTTACTAAGGTGTGCTGTTGGCCTATTTTTAGCTTAAAGCTGCCCATAGACGATTGATACTTGCATTTGATTTGATTGATGCAATGCCCACAGACGCATCAATGTCATCTACACACGATCAATTTTATAGTACAACCCGGGATATTGCACAATAATATTGATCGTCTATGGGCCGCTTGTGATATTCGAAAATTCACAACATGAAACCGCAACGCGAATTCACTTCAGGGCTTTTTCATCCGTGGACGCTGGTTCGTGACCCAGATTGAATATCGATATTCCACCCTTTTAATACCCACATGTCCAGAAGAAGGCCAAAATGATTAAAAAACATTATAAATTTATAAGAAAAATGTGAGACCCAGTGGGGATCGAAGCGACAACTCATACATTGCTACCATTAAACTAAACTAAAAATTAAAAAGATTTAATTCTGTTTGTTAAGTTCAGCCGAGTCATTTATAGAAGCAATTATCTGCTTATGTAACCGAATCTAGGGATTCAGTATCAACAGATTACATAATACCGCGATATTGATAAATGCCGAAAAAATATGTAAATAGCAATATTGATACCGACATTATGTAGTGTTAACAGCAGTTTATTAAGTGGCGATTGTAATAAATTATAATAAATACATTTGTGATTTGTCCGTCGTTGTCTCATTGTTATGGATGCGTAGGGGCACCGAAAACTAGCTGAAGTGTCGAGCAATTTTCAATTCTATTACAAGACCCATAAAGTCGGTTTTATGATGTCGATACCTGTCTTAGATGATAGATTTCGGCCGGAATATTGACGTGTCCGTAAACGTGAATAATGCGCGTGCGACGTTTTCGAATGTATGAATATCGTATGAGTTTACCTAATCGCGTCTTTCGAATTCGGTTTTTGGATTTGAATTAATTCAGTTCAGTGTGGAGAAACTTTCCGAATTTATTCATAATTTATACGAGCGGCCAGGATATGAAGGTAAAAAAAGGTTCTACATAAGCATACGTTTGTTTTTCAGAAAACATGATTCTGAATAATAATGGTCTAGGTAAATTCGATACATTTGAATTTTAAAAATTGGAAATTTATACGGCTTGTACATTTAATCCTTTATGTCCAATTTGAAAAAATAGTGCGCTCAAAGCGATTGAATTGTAATATTCTAGAAAACTTTATTATTAGTAAAAATCTGTTTTTTCAAACTCAAACTTAAATACTTATAAAAATATTAAGAATAATAGAAAAAAAAAATATTGTTACGAAGAGTAGGTAGCGCTGATGTGCAGCAGTTTTCCCTCGCGTTAGAATTGACATTAACAATGGAACTACGAACTATATTTGTGGGACATGGGGACAACACATTTCTCTGTCCGTAACGTTATTAAACGGCATAAAAATGTGTTTAAAACCACGTAGAAGGTCTTAAAAATCACGCTTTCAATAAGGTTTCATAAAACTTTGCACTTCGTGGGAATCGTACCTACAGCCCATAGACCGACTAGCGTGTAAACCTGTAAATAGCTAATTCCTAAGAAATTGAGACCGTCGTGGAAGCCACTTGTAGATTCAGCGCAGTCCAAGAGTTATTGTCGAGAGCGCGCATTGGGATGCTCGGCGCGGCGCGCTTCGTGCGGCAGCGTGGCGCGCTAGAAAGGTGGACGTGCTCGCCCGTGCGAACGCTTCGCTTCCATGCTCGCCTGGTACCTGCAGAGCTACTGGAATACTTGGAAAATGTGTCCGAACACGTTGTTCAGCGAGTGGGGAAAATTGTCCCAAAAATGCTGCAAACGTGTTTTTTGGTGAAGGAGGATAAACTAGCAAGTTTACTTATGAGAAGGTGCCAGCCACGTCCAGATCAACGAGATACACTATCGGACTATTTTAGCTTTGGATACTTACTTACCTACGTCTGTAGGTTTTAACGGTTTAAAACGCGAAATATCAGGAGCCTTCCCGTGACCATGGCTGCTGCAAAGCATCCGAAATCTCGGGTCTTAGTAAAAATAATTTCCAAATTACAGTTAACATTTGTACAATTTTAGATTACCAGACTATGTCCAATATATTGCTTATTGGAAACTTATTAAGAATAGATATTCTCAGTAGGATTCACACCCATGTTTTTACGATTTATTGCGCATTTTGGTCACCAAAACGTTAAAATAATTATAAATTGACTAGAAAAATGTCGAACCCACGACTTGTCGATTAGCCATACATTACTGAACGAGTTCGTCTAATGTTTTGTTAAATGTATATTCAAAGCAGGACGCTTAATTATTTGTCCCATAAATATGGCGGAAGACTCAAATGGAATAACCCATTTGGCATCGAGTCAATCAGTCAGTGTTTGATAAGAGATAAGTCTATTTAGTATGGAGCGCTGTCAGCAGCTAACTGTTTCGGCGGCAAACGATTATATCTGCCTTGCGCCAGATCTGACGAGTTGCTCTGTCTTGAATTATAATCGAGTTAAAGTTTGGACAATTAGGTACATGTTTGTTACAAAAATACTGTAATATTTTTGACCAACCTAGCGCAAGAGGTGCAATGACAGGGCTGCCTAGCAGTGATATAAATTGCTCCTTAGGTCATTAAATTCACAAAAATGTATTAGTTTATAAGACATGTTGAAAAAGCCAGACCGAGATTCTTGGGTGTTCTTCTCGATTATGTCGCTCTTTTGAACACTCTGTAGAATCACGACGAACGGACAGACAAACATATTATTTAATTTTTTTGACGAATCTAAATATTCAAATAAGCACTCTAACGGTTTAAAACGCGATATATTAGTTAAACTTATTTGAAAATGATTTTTAACTTCGGCCCAACGTTTCGGATGCTTTGCAGCAGCCGTGGTCACGGGGAGACGGGGAAGTTCGTTTATGTGCCTGCTAAACGCAAGAGGTCTGGGTTCGCTTTCTGGGGAATAGCAATTATAGTGTTGATCAAACAATACACAGAACTATACATTTTTTAAATGTATAAACAAGTAAAACTATAGACAGTGTTTAATAGACATAAACACTGTTTTACTATCTTAACATTATAGACATTCTCGACTTTGGCTGCTGATGACCTTCGAAGCCAGCTAGCGGTGAAGAAAAGGGGGGGCGCGTGTCACGTAGCTATCAGATCGCCGCCTGGCGCCGCCCGCGATGACTCTCATGCAAATCGCATTTAATAGCTCCATACTTCACGTGCAGACGGGTCAATGACCCGCGAACATCAAAGCCTTTTTTGCGATCTAATGCATGACGGCTCTTAATGAGGTTTTGTCTGTCCTTACTATTTTAAAGTGCTTGCGTGCCCCGTGTGAAAAACAAAGCTAACTCATACAACAAATAAATATCTAATATATATATATATATAAAATTAAAAAATATATCATAAAACAACACAGCATTGAAAATTAATGATGCGTTTCAAGAGGGGATTTTTATATTTACTGTACTTACTTAGTTTTACAAAAATACAGTTTATTCAGTTTATAAGTTTAATTAATTTTGTTTTTTTTAATTTTTACACTAATATAGATTGTTGTTTTGTAGTTAATAGTCACTTCTTACACTCCCAGGGCATTGGAAAAGCCGTGTGCTTTCCCCCATTATAAAAACACTCTTATTTGTATACAATATAAAACAAAATTTTATATTGTTTGTCAATATATATTGTATGAGTAAGTACATTTTAATAAATATTAAAGTTGTGCTATAGACAAGGATCATACTGTGAATTCAAAATGTTTAAACTTCTTATAAAATGTATTTATAGACACGTAAAATTAAAACGCTTTCCTTATTTAATTTCGTCAGTTAATTTAAAAATATATCATGTGATGTTTTTAAAGAGGCCATGATATTATCTCCGTCAGAAGGCAAATTCTTATTTTGCATTAGACGGCAGATGCTCTGCTGCTGGGAATCCAATAATCTGCGATAGTCTTCTGTTAGCCAGTAAAAAAAAATCAATTACTTCAACTTCAAGTTACATTTTATATAAACTAAACAGAGATGTCCCTTGTGATAAGTAAAACAAATTTAACAATATTTCTGAAAAACTATCAAGAGAATAGTATGTATATAATAAATAGATATAATTCAATTTAAAAAAACACCGTAATGTTTTAAAATTATTGGTTTTAAACCCAGAGTCCTCTGCAAGGAGGAAATGGGTGAAATAATCAGATTGATCATCCAGCCTTCTATAGTTGTCTCCAATAGAAAATAATAAACAACGGTTTAATACGTGAAATCTATTAGTTAAACTTATTTGAAAAATTATTACAGTAGGGTCCGACATAGGGTACAAAGCTCATACATAGGGTCGCGTTTTATACCGTTTTAGTGTTTTGTTCAAATGTGTACTACTCGCGTAAACTATAGACAGTATTTAGTACAATATTGCCAAGTATTATATACTCAGAGACAGTTAATTACCAAGTTTCACTTAAAATTTTATGTGATATAAATTTAAAATGTTTCAAGGTAAGGAACACTGTCTCTTCAATGCGACAAAGATAGGTTCCTTTATTGATATCATGATATTATACTTTAATTGTCTTTTAAGTACTAGTAAAACGATTAGGCATTCATTTTTATATTAGACACAAATAGTAAAGATCAGCGTCAAACAGCGACCTACAGTTGTGATATTGGGATGTGTTTAATTTAATAATTGTTGTTTTTTTGACATTTATTAAAAAAAAACAAGTAGGTACATGTAAAAGTATAATGACAAAATATAACTTTAAAATACGTAAGTTAATATTCTTATTGGAGAATTTATTTTTGAATAAGAAATATTTCGCTTTGTCTACTAAATGATTAAAGTATATAAAAACAAATCAAACAAATATAACCAAAAACGGATGCACATTCATAAAGTGTCGTATATAGTTAGTTTATTAACAAATGTAAAATATAAAATTTTAGTAATAAAACAACACAGAAAACGCGTGAACAAGTCTAGAACCCAAGTGTTTTCGTCAAACATTATCGAAAATAAAAGAATTCGCCGAGTTGCGCACGCGGCGACCCTCAAATTCCTCCGCGATAGATTTATCTCCACGGAACGACCGACCGCCGCGCATCTACTCCACCCACTAATTACACTCTTATGAAATAAACTGCCTTTAACTGCATCTTATGTATCCCAAAAACGTCGTAAGAACTAATAAACCGAATAAAACAATCGACTCTGTGTGAACCGAATAAGTTTCATTATAGGTCGTCGCACGCGCAGACAAATTTGCAGCCTCTCAAGACATAAACATGATACAGTAGCCCGGATCGGACACTTAAGGCTTCACAGCGATTTAAAACCGATTATAATTGAGCCGGGTTTATTAAAAATTATTTTAGGAAATTTCTCGTCGGTCTCCGCCGTATTAACGACAAAGTGTTCACGAAATTATATTACCAAGTCCAAGGTGCTTTTTACGTAAGTTTATTCCCGTTTACTTCGTATCTGGTATGTTTTTACACAACGTCTGTCTTAGTTAGCATGACTTATTTTTTTTAATAACAGAGGACGGCAGACAAGCATAGAGTTCACTCGATGGTAGTTGACCTACCCCAACCTAAGAAAATCCACAGACTGAAGCCGAAACGTGATTAAGCTTTTTCAACTGTGGACGGTGGTTCGAGACCCGGGCGGTATTTTTATATTCCTACCACCCATTTAATATCCAGATATCCAGGCGAAGTCCAAAATGTTTCAGGATTATACATTTATGAGAAAAATGTTGGACTCGGTGGGAATCGAACCTGCGATTGATTATTAGCCGTACGTGTTGTTGGGATTAACTAGGACTTATGTTTCACCGGGCTATGATATCAGGAGTCTTGCGCAACGCTATCCTTAGCAACGAGTTAAAAACTTAAACTACAGAGCATATAGAAACTAACTGAGCGTAAGCTCAAGTCATACATATATAAAAATTAAGTGCAAACAATTGTTTATGTTGTAATTTCCAAAAATATTATATGGCTTTAATAAAAAGTGAACGTTAGTCTTTATTTCATTGTCCAGTGTCCAGCAAAACAACATGTTGTGTCATATAGGAAAGATTCATTAACATAAAATTAAATATTATAATGAGAAAGAAATCTTATAAGAACTACAAGTTCATGACGTAATTATTAACTTATGATCATCTAATTTCAATTGTTATTTTTCAATGAAGACCAGGACTTGATATGAATTCGAAGCCAAAGTAAGCTAGAGAGATACTTATGTCTAGTCTGTGGCTGATTAATGTCACATTACTTAGATGTGACCTTGTGCCGACTTGTCATCTGTCATATATAGGCATAGTAGTAAAAAGTATAAACTTACTTACTCCGCTGGCGCAGCGACCCAAAGTGAGTTGGCGTCCGAAACTAAAGAGCGCCACTTTCGCCGATCTAAAAAGAAAAATTACAAACTTGTAGCCCTTTTTGTAGTTTATGCGAGTAGCACACATTAAAGTAAAACACTTTAAACGGTTTAAAACGCTAAATATATCGCCATCTTGTTTGCATTGTAAACAGTGAAAAGTTTTCCGGCTTCCAATCCGGAAAAGTCGTGCAAAATAGTCTCGGTGAGGAAATAAGTCTTCATTACTACGTCACAATATTATTTTAAAAGACCTTTCTTTTGTTTTAGATTTCTCCTTATTTACTATTTCGTTTTGATTATGAAATACTCATTCGATTCTACCCCCCTGTCATTAAAAGTCTAACACGCAAAGGTTGACTCAAAAGATAAAAGGGAGTTAAAATGCAAGTTATGGGATCCAAGTGAGGGACCGGAACTAATATTGGCCGAGCTCCCCATTCGGCCCTCTCGCCCCTCGCCAAACATTATTGTTTGTCTGTTTGTTCGGCCTCCTGAGCCCGCGAATGATTGCCCAATTGGAAACAAAACGGTTCTCATATTAAACACGTGTGACTTTATGCTAAATCTCTATTAGTTTACTTACATTTTGAAGCCAAAGCCGTAATGTTTTATTATTTATACTAAATTAATGACGTAACGTAATGACGCTATATTAAAATTAAGTAAATATTTTGAAAGTTTTAATAATTAACACATAATTAAAGTCGATTATTAAATTGAAAAAAAATGACTCAGGTAGGACTTCAACCGAATATTCGAAGCGAAGACTAAGTGCTGTACATGTCTGTCATGTACTGTCGAAAAACGCTCAAGATCTAGAATAGAATAGAAGACGTTTGTTCAGAAACAACACAAGACATTTAACAAACATAATATAACAAGAACTAAAAATAAATCTCCTGAATTGGTGATCAAGTAAAAAAAACCATCTACTAGTGATAGCGACACGATAACCATTTCTTAATAAATTACGACGACTAAGCACTAATGCCCAAGTATTTGTGAAGTTACTGCAAAAGCCTTAGACAATTTATTAAAAAATCATCAGTATTATAACATTAGGTACGTTGTAGGTAAATAGACCGAAAAACATGCTCTTACTTATTTATATCTAAGAAAGAGTCTTCAATCTAATTGAACAATCTCATTAGAATATTTAGTGCTTAGGTCAAATTTGTTTTGTATACGCCATCGTGAAAATAAATAGGAATAACAAAACAGACAGTAGTGTAAATTTTCTTTTCGGGTTTGACACGTGAAAAATACTTAAAAAAAAATCTCATGAATCAACTCTAATCATAATTTTAATAGAGATTTGTAAAGGACATAATAATATTGTAATTGGTCTCTTTGAATTACAAAACCGTTCTAATTGTTGTAATGTATAGGCCGTCAGACTTATCACATTTAATATCATTCTAATCATTGGAAAATTTTATTCAAAGCGTCCTAGTAATTTTGGCCTGAGAGTTATTTATCTAATTGGAAAAATACTTTAAGATTATACTTACAGAAACTAGAATAAATTACCAATTGATAACTGCGAAGTGTGTGTTGTCATTTTAAAACATAAAAGTGTGCTAATGTTTCGTGCTATTTTGTGTGTCTAAAAAATGACGTCTAAAATTTGATCTAAATTTATTTTAATTATTGATATTTCAATGAGAATAACGCACAGTTATACTAATTTTAGTCAGACAGCACCCTGTACAATGTTATTGTTTATTAAAAATAATATTTTTCATTAAATTTGTTTCCAAGCGCATCTGGGATAGGTAGAAATAAACTTTGAAGGTTGTATTATTTGTGGCAGGCGATGTTCGATCGCGCCGAGAGATGGCGTTAGTTGTCCCAGCCACAAATGTTATGATAATAAATTCAAATTAATTTTACATGCATTGAATAAAACAAACCTGAACAGACTTATAAGTTATCTCTGTAACATTTTGACATTTAGATGACAAATTATTATAAGCGGGGTAATGTTTACGCGTTTAGTTACGTAAGTTGTTTAGATAATATATCTATAAATAGTATTGGGTCCAACAGAATATTTAAAAAAGTATATTTGTCTTTCTTATTATTTATATTATTATAATATTTACAGGTTTGTGAGGCATTATCAAATTTGACGTTCATCTACTCGACGCTAGATGGCGTCGAGTGTATTAATTTCTGAAGAATACGTTTACATACTAAAAACAGACACATTCGCAGGTAATATACTGTGTTTCTTTATAAAATAAAATTTTATTCCTACACATATAAATACGCCTATAAATATTTTTATTGAAAGAAAAATATTTTGACTCTACATTATCTGAATTTATGGAATCAGACACATACAGGTACTTATGTCTTTTCAAACGTATTTAAAATGTTTATTTAATTGTAATATAGACTAATTAACATAAAGTAAATGCGAAATTATGAATTTACTATAGTACCTAGTAGACAGCTGCATAACATATATTATTCATCATCGATGTATTTTTAAAATAAATCGTAAATATATTAATCTAAGTATTAAGTATTGTCTGTCATGCTGTTTGTTTTGTTTCCGAATTATTCATTAATATTTAATATCTGCCTTATGTAACAAATCCTTTAGGTATGTTATTTTTCTACTGAGATATCTTTTTAGTTTAGTTTCCAAGCATAAACGCGTATAATATAAGGAATAAAACGTTAATAAATAAGTATGAAATATATTTTAACATTTATTATTTTAGGAGTTAATTTTATCCTAGTAAAGTTTACAAAGTGGAATTGTTATAGTAGCTATAGGTCAGTTACACATGCCAATGCCAAGGACTTAGGTCAATTCAAGTAAAAATAAAGTAAAGTTCTCAAAGAAATCTAAGAAATTTTAAAATTACTAACGGCTAGAAAACTCACTTATTTAGTTTGTAGAAACTAACATTAGTGTCTAGTTTCATCAGTAATAATATCTTGCTTATTCTACACTTATTTTATTAAATAAAAGAATTATTCAATTCGTGGCAATCAGTAGATTTATTTATTTATTATGGTACATCGACAGATCACTTACATGTACCAAATTACATGTTCTTAACATCATAATACGTTAAAATACCTAAGTAGGACCCAATTACTGATGTACACAGCATTATTAACTTGTACAACTGACTTAAATAAGTAGATACGTAAATAACTTCATAAAATGTAGAGTTTATGGTAGATATGAATTATTGCTTTATTATTTACCTATTTTTTATTTAAAATAAAATTACGATACTACATTCATTGCTCTTATTGTCACTTGTCGAACGAAAACCGAACATGTGTAGAGAGTGAAGTAATTCTCATTATAATTATAATACGCATTATGAGATATGCATAAAATTGCATTTAAAACATGTACGTATGAATATATTACGATTCAACAGACGCAGCAGCAAGGCAGCAAGACAGCAAGGCAGCAGGAGCGGCCGAAATCGCGTCGCAATTCGCGCACAAGTAATGATAATGTTTGTAAATAATCAGGTGTCGATGCGTTCGAGGGGCGAGCGCGTAGCGGGGCGCGGGGCCCGGGCGGGGCGCAATTACGGCGTCATTAGCGGGCGGCGGGGAGAGCGGGTGGCGCGGGGCGGGCGGGCGATGGGCGGGGCCGCCCCTCTCGGCGCCGGCGCGCGCCCGCCGCGACCGCCTCGCGCCAGTCCGCTCCGTGCTGCCATCGAGCACGCACGCGCATGTCGCTCGTTGACGTGCACGGTGATGTGAGGTGGCCCTCGCTGCCGCTCCGCGCGAATTCCGCGCTTGTTTCGCGATCGTGTGCGCCAGGTGAAGGCTCGCGAGCCTTCGAACCGGCAAGACGCCGTCCACCGTGGATCTGAGGTACGGCGCCATGGCGGCGACCACGTACATGCCGGGAGAGCTGGATCTCGGCAACCTGAGCGGGTACCACGCTGCTTCGCCGCGCAGCGTCGAGCCCGCCGATATGAAGTACCAGCACCACCTGCACGCGGCGGGCTCGCCCTCGCCAGGCGCGCCGCTCAACCCCTGGGCCTCGCTTCCGCCCACCGACCCTTGGGGCATGCACCAGCACCACGCTCACGCGCACGCCCCCGACGTTAAGCCGCCCGCCGCGCCGCACGACCACAGGCATCTCCAGGGCGGCTGGCACGCGCCCGTGGTATCCGCGCATTACGGCGCCGGCTCCCCCGTGGCTCTGCACGGCGGATACCCGGTGCCCGTCCACCAGCACCACATGCTGCGCGACGTGCAGCCCTCGCCGCACGCACTGCACCACCACCACGCGCTGGAGCGCGACCAGCCCGAGGAAGACACGCCGACGAGCGACGACCTCGAGGCCTTCGCCAAACAGTTCAAGCAGCGGCGGATCAAGCTCGGCTTTACGCAGGCCGACGTGGGCCTCGCGCTGGGCACACTCTACGGCAACGTGTTCTCGCAGACGACGATTTGCCGCTTCGAGGCGCTGCAGTTGAGTTTTAAGAACATGTGCAAATTGAAACCGTTATTACAAAAGTGGCTGGAGGAGGCCGATTCGACGACCGGCAGCCCCACCAGTATCGACAAGATAGCGGCGCAGGGCCGCAAGCGCAAGAAGCGCACCTCCATCGAGGTGTCGGTGAAAGGCGCGCTCGAGCAGCACTTCCACAAGCAGCCGAAGCCATCGGCACAGGAGATCACGTCGCTGGCGGATAGCCTGCAGCTGGAGAAGGAGGTGGTGCGCGTGTGGTTCTGCAATCGGAGGCAAAAGGAGAAGCGCATGACGCCGCCGAACACGCTGGGCGGCGAGATGCTGGAGGGCATGGGCCACGGCCACTACGCGCACGACGTGCACGGCTCGCCACCGCTGCATGCGCATTCGCCCGCGCTCTCGCCGCCGCACTCGCAGCACTCGGCCCACGCCCACGCGCACTCGCAACACGCGCCGCACGGCCAGCACGGACAGCACCCGCTCCAGAGCGCCCACACGCTGGCGGCGCACTAACAGTTCGCCCCGTGGGCGCCGCCGCGGCCCTTCTACGCGGAGCCGCACTAGCCCGCGGGACAATACGCGCGTAGACGCAGTGTCGAGTGCAGTGCAGTGCAGTGCCCGAGCCGACCGCGTCGCTCGGTAAGTACTGGCCGCGCTCGAGAGACGATCGCATCGAATTTACCCTAGGTTACGGTCAGGTGTGGCGTTCCCTCGTTTCGTTATTCCGTTGGTTTGTGAACGGCCGGCTCGCGAGGTCCGAAGCGCCGTCCGCCCCGCGACCACGCCATTGTACAGTAGACCGGGCGAGGCGGCGGCGAGCCATATTAGGTAGCTCTTAGTTCTGTCGCGCTGCGGCGTGTGGACCCGATTCGACGGAACCGTGTAAATGTAATTATTTCGTTATTCTCAACGAAGTTGAAGTTGATATGTATATAACTGTATAAATTGTAGGTAATTAAGGGCCGGCCGCGGTAGCGCGAGCCTCTAGCTAAATAATGAATAATTAGTCTTAAAATGTTTTATATTATTATCTAAGTATTTAAATAAACCAGAGTAAATATTTTAAAAGGTCGTATTATTGAATCCCGGTTAGGGCGCGGCGTGTCGCAGGTAGGGCGAGGGCCGATCGAACCCGAGACCTTTGGAAAAAACTTTGATAAGGAGCTATGTGACACGTTCGTTTGTTTCGCACGATGTGTTGTCCGCTTTTTGTGTGGAGCGTGCCGTCGGCTGTCTCTTGTCACCTTACATTCGATTACTTGTGCTCTAGTTAATCGCTTATCGGATGTTTCGGTCTGAGACGAGCCGCCGTTCTAGCTAAATTCCGTTCTTCTGGCATATTCCGTTCCGCGGCGAACGCTCGCTTCCACCTTACACAATAACACACATTACGGCAACACACGAACGATCCGATTCATGTCCAGTTTCATCGATTTATTGACAGTTTTATAACTCGACAGAAACTCCGCAATCTAGTAAATTACCAGTAATCGGCAGCTAATAGAAAATGTTGCCAGCTAATTGTGAAACGACTTGAGCGGTTTCTAAAATTATAAGAAGCCTCATAAATCTTATAAGCATGTTTGAATAATGAAATATGGGCCTCGATACTGAATCTTTCAAAAGTACACGCGCATTTGCAAGATAAATGGCTAAAATGTGAGCTTTTACATATAAAAAAACTACACTATTATAGGTATACCTTTACAATCAAATTGCATTACAATAATCCGCTGTTTTTAAGTAAGGCGTTTGTAATTTATCATATTTTTGTCTTTAATGGTTAAATAACATTGTTTATTAACATGCCGACGCAAATTTCTTAAATGGGCAGTCCTGTAACGTTTAATGAATTTTATAAATAAATAACTTATAGTGATTCGTCAATTAAAGGATTGCAGTATTTCTAACTGAAGGCCAAAATAGGTCGACAACACATTTTGTTTAGACGTGTATGGCTATTTCACCGCAAGCGAACCACATGCTTGACTATCCTCAAAGTTGTAAACATTTTGTTTGTAGCACTGTCTAATGAAATATTGTGTTAACCGCTTTGTTAAAAAGTCGACTCAATTACCGATGTCGTGTCGGGCCCGCTACCTGCGGATTTTTTGATTTCTCGATAAAAAACTAGTCTCACTTCGCTCTCGGTTCGATATCCACCTTAACTGTAAAACGGGTATCAAACCTCTGTTTCTTTGCGTTTCGGATTTCAATACAACATTCTGCAAATAATTATATTAATAATTATTATTGCTTGGTTAAAAAGTATGGTTTTTGAACCTTATTTGAATACTCAAATGAAAGATAAATATAGATACTTCAAACGGGGTCGATTTCCGAAAAAACTAAATCATTGGTATTTAGGTATAGCAATTTAATTTAATTCTAGTCTAGACAGTAGCTTACAACCGTTAACATAAAACACTGTTAACGGTTTAAAACGCGTAAAGCATCCACAACAAGTCCAAGGGCCTAAGTTAACTTATATATTTCGAGTTAAAAACCATTCTAAGTTTTATGAAAATATTAAGACTAATAACTTTATAAGTTTGAATTGAATTTAAGATATTTAGGTCTATAAGTATTAATTTAGTTCCAGATATAGATCAATATTTTTTTTTATTTGAAAAACATATATGTATTGAATTGTCCGTATATGTTTTATAAAACAAATTAAAAGTGGCAAGTAGATTATATCGTAATCAATATTATATTTTTAATAAAAACCGCAATGAAGAGGGGACTTACTCCGACGGTAAAAAATCCTTCACAAAGAGAACAACAAACATAGGATACAATGATTGACTGGTTGAACTATGATGACTTAGGATATAAATCCACATTTATTAAATGTAATTTCTGTATATATATAAGGAGAGTTAAGAAAATTCTTTGTTTACATCCCCTGTGTTAGTAATTACATAACCTATTATGGTTTTTAGAACATCTAGCTGAACATCTCAAGTAGGATCGTGCTAACCTAAATACCATTTAAAATTGATAAAAAAAAAACTCTTTGAACGCAATTGTGTCGGTTCGACATTTTCTGCTTCACCGGTAAATTTATTCATTTACTTAATGCATATTTTTATATAGATATAATTGAGTTATTTAAGAAAACGAAAAAGACCCGAAACGTCGGGCCGTAGTTACAAATAATTTTATTTATTTATTTATTTATTTATCTATTATGGTACATCAACAGATCACTTACATGTAGTTCATTATACTTAACATAACAATAAGTTAAGATACCTATGTAGGACCCAATTACTGATGTACACAGCATTGTTAACTTAAAATTAGTGTTTCGAAATTACAGAATTCCAACTTAATTATAATAAAGTGTCTATAGTCGCAATACTTTATTTTTAAATCGTGTAAAAGAATCAAAGTAAGGATCAGCGTCGGTTTCTCGCATGACATTATTAAGGGTCTCACACATTTTAACTAACATATATCGCGTTTTAAGCTGTGAAGTGTTTTACTTAAACTACAGACAAGTATTTAAACATAATATCAATTGTAATTTCTTAAGATGACCAAGTTTCAATATACTTGCTTTTAGATTTATCGTCACTGAGAGAATAAAACTATACAGGATGTGATATGTGTCAACTTAGATAGTTAAAAGTTAGAAGTTCAATCAAAGTAGGAGTAAAGAGTTAGCGGTGTTAATAACTAAGATGTGATTACCTTGTGGATTATAAATCACTAGCCGTGACTTCAGCAGTTCCGGAGATTAGCGCGTTCAAACAAACAGACTCGTCAGCATTGTAATATAGACTAGAGAATGATCCAGCGCGGGTCTATTCGGTCGTTTCACCTGCTGTCACTAAGAAGCGAACGATCGGCCGAGGCTCATAACTTTTGTGACAAAAACCTCACGTGACGCGGTCATGGACAAAATGGCATTCCGCGGGCCTAGTCAAGTGTGCTGCGTACGCACATCGAAGATAAGGGTATGCGCATTCCTCCAAGGAGAAATCGCGCTGCTGAAGTTATCCGTGCGGCTTTCAGTAGTTCGATTTTCAGTCAAAACTTGAATCATACTTGAACTCATACATAGTTGTTTTCATTCAAATAAAACACATTTACCAGTTTAAAACGCGACATATATATTACTTAACTTATTGACAATTTATTTTGAACCGCGTTTCAGCAGCCGCGTTCTCGGGGGGACGTAATGAAAATAAATTATAAATTAGTTTATAATATTTCGCATTTTAAACCGTTTTTTTAAATGTGTATTATTCGCGTAAAGTGCAGGCAATTCGTGATTATTTTTTTGTCAAGTAGAGTACATATTATGTCAAAATGTGTCAGTAACCAGTACAAATTAAACTTACTGACTTTGTCCTAAGACTATTAAATAAATTAAACTGTTTATGTATTTATTTTATGCAAATTAAGCAAGTGCGCAAGCAAATTAAGGCCTATGATCACTCATAGAAAACAAAGAAGGCGAAAAAAAAATGTTTTATAAGTAACCGTTCTATTTAAATAGAAAGCGAAGAATTTATTCATTTTTTTAAGTTATAATTAAAACTTCATTTATGACGAACCGGCTTTTAAAACTAAGCAACTTTTAACAAACGTAAACAAGTGACAAGCATTTGTAGGTAAGTACATCGATCTTGATAAATCGTGAAGCGTTTGAAAACTTTATTAATTTTTTTACATGTTATTGCACATGAAGGCACTGTAATATAATTTAAAAATCGAAAATAAATTGAAAAAAATTTCGATTCGAGCAGGACTTGAACGGGTATCGTTAGCGTTCCGTCCTATTGCAAATGTGTTTTTTTACGATAGAGAAAGGCAGACAAATATGGAGTTCTGTCACTGGCGAAACCGAAATTCAGTTATTTCATGGTGTTTTTTTATCTGCGGACGTCGGTTCGTGACCCGGACGAAAATGCGATATACCTACCACGCATTTAATACAAAAATTTCTAGACGGAAGCTAAGATGTTTCATAAAATTATAAATTGATTATAAAACATAGTTAGTTTTATATCTTTGATAATTTCAAGTTCTAACCTGTTCTAATTGTTTTTTCTGTCCAGGGAAAATATTGTTAGAAGGTGAAAAATGATAGGACACTAAAGTACATTCTCTAAAAAATGCTTTTGAGCTGTTTCACTGTCAAAGCCACGAGTAATAAGTTATGTAAGCTTAGAAAAACAAAAACATAAACTTGTTGTTCCGTAATAAAAGATCTATTTTAAATTGAAAAAAATCGGACAGGACTTGAATCCACGACTCTATCGTGTATATGAGGTAAATTCATATCAATTAGAGAATACGTTAAGAGACAGTTATTTACTAAACTGACCGATCATTTTGCATTTCAAATTCACTAATAAATATTAATAACCTCCCAAATGTTTCAATTTAAATGTCTTCATGTCATAATGTTTTACTTTCATATTTTAATTGTTAATATAAACATTTTTATCAATTTCTATGCTAATTTAGTAGCAAATAATAATATTGTAGATTTTATA